AGAAGTCTTACGCCTAAGAGCTGTAGCCGAGACTGCTGCCAAAAAAAAGCAGTCGATTGTTTTCCTGCCTTGTCACAAGTCCCATGTGGACTACGTCTCCTTGCAACTTATCTGTTACCGTCTCGGCATTACTCTGCCAGTCGTTGTCGCGGGTGACAATCTGAATATCCCGTTGCTAGGCCCTTTCTTACAACACGCAGGTCGGTCGCAAGACAATTCTCTGTTGGCTTTAAGCCAGTACTAACCTCATGTAGGCGCTATGTGGATTCGACGCAGCTTTGGTAATGATACCTTGTACAATACCGTCGTACAAGCGTATATCGATACCCTCCTTCAACAAGGCTTCAACTTCCAGTGCTTCATTGAAGGTGGTCGTTCCAGAACTGGAAAGCTGCTCTCACCTAAGTTTGGAATATTGAGTTTCATCATGGACAGTCTACTATCAGGTCGGGTTGAAGATCTCATCATCTGTCCCGTCAGCACTCAATACGACAAGGTCATTGAAACTGAGTATGTCACCCCACCGGCACACTAGCCTTTCTGATGAACTTAATAATTGACGAGTCGTTTAGGTCATATATCAGCGAGCTTCTTGGCCAACCAAAAGCAAAGGAGAACTTGGCTGATTTCATTTCCTCGTCCTCGGTTTTATCCTTGAAGCTAGGCCGGGTTGATGTCCGTTTCCACGAGCCATGGAGTCTCCGAGACTTCATTGGTCAGCAGCTTACCCGACTAGATCGCCCCAGCACTGACATCAATAACAAACTTAGCTATACGGATCGAGGCCGCATTCTAAGAACATTCGGTTATCGGGTTCTGTCCGATATCAACGACGTGTCTGTGATGATGCCAACCGCCCTTGTGGGAACCGTGCTCTTGACCTTGCGCGGCCGCGGAGTCGGAAAGGCCGAATTAGTACGCCGATTGGACTGGCTCTGCGATCGGGTGCGAGCCAAAGGTGGCAGAGTCGCACACTTCTATCACTCTCCAACGGAGACGGTGGTTGACCGTGCGCTAGAAGTCCTAGGACCCAAACTCGTTGGTGTGATTTCAGGTCTAGTCGAGCCAACATACTATGCGGTGGATCGTTTCCAACTTTCCTTTTACCGGAACATGCTCATCCACCTGTTCATTACTGAAGCACTGGTTTCTGTGGCTATGTACACAAAGATTAAGCAAGGTGGCGGGCCCGCCAATCAAAGAATCACCTACGAGGATTTGAAGAAACAGGTCTCATTTTTGTCGCAGCTTTTCCGTGGTGAATTCATTTTCCCGCCTGAGGGCTTAGCTCACAATTTGGATAAAACTTTGCGTGGACTGGAGAAGGATGATGTGATTAAAATCACCCGTGATGAGTCCCCCACTCCACTGTACGTCGAATTGAGTGAGTCTGAGCGATTATGTGGTCGCGAGAACTATGACTTTTACTGCTTCCTGATCTGGCCTTTCATCGAGGCCTCTTGGCTTGGCTCAGTGTCTCTTCTTGGATTGACGCCGCCCCTCGATGGTCCGAAGGAAGTATGGATCGATTCAAAGAAAGCACAAGATAGTGCTCAAGTCGTGAGTTTTCTTTCCCATGCTATACCGACTATTTCATTAATATTCACCTCGCAGCTCGGTAAAACGTTGTATCACCAAGGTGATCTCTCCTACTTTGAGGCAGTCAACAAGGAGACCCTCAAGAACTCTTATCAACGATTTGAAGAAGAGGGTATTATCTTGGTTGCGAAGAACAAAGGATCCCGCGCTGGTCCGTCTCTCAAGCTGGCTCCTGAATGGGTACCTCGGCGTGACGAGGGTACTGGGAAGGTTCTGGACGGCGGTCGACTGTGGGACTTTGTTGAATTGATTGCTCAGTCCCGTCGCGAGGGGTAATTCGATTCCATTCACACTATGTCTGCCAATACGCTAACATTTCACAGCAAAAACCGACGGGATGGTGCAACTGTTTCTTCGCGAGTTCTTACCATGTCCGATCATGTTGGGCGGAAGCTGTTCCAAAATGCCGCCGCTCCGGCGCCTGCTGATGTATCGTCACGGCAAATGCGCCGGAATGCAATTGGAACTGAGGCAAAGCTCTAGTTATTCTCTTTTGATACCCATGCGCGTACATTGTACACGCCGCTTCTATATCTACCTCATCTTACCTGGTGTCAGATTTATAGTCTTAATGCACATATTGTTGTTATATGAGGGTTAATCTTCGGCTAAGGGAGGCCATCTGTAGAATCAAACAGGGAACACGTCGCTTTGAAGGAGAGAGATAGCCTAGATGCGCAGGGGTGATCTGTATTACGTTACCATGCAATTTTACAGCCAGTTTTTCTGTGTTTGGTTCGCCTAAGTGGAGGAGGTGCTATGCCACCGATCCATCCGATACAATGAGGAGAAGGCTACACATAGACTGCAGCGATACCGAGTACGAGTTCCATACTTATAATTAAGATGAGGATACACAGTGATCAATGATCGCACCAGAGCCCTTGAGGGGATCCGACATCAATTTCAAATTGTAGTTTACTACTAGAACCGGAATTCGTTATATATATTCGCTCTTCTTCCCTCCAATCCCTTCCGTCATTTATATGTAGTTCACCTATGATGGGCTTTTTACGACGTTTTCGAAGAGTCTGCTCATGTGAAAATGTGGTCAACTTGAAAATACCAGACAATGAGATATAAGATAGCATAAGGACGGACAAGTATGTGTCCGATAACCGAAATAGATCACGTATAATATTGAAGATAGCTATTCTCTGCCCCAAATTCACTATCACTTTAGCGTTGTGGTTTTGTTCAATTCCCACAAAGAAGAAAGTAGGTAATGACCATATTACTTAGAATTCTTGGTCGGGCCAACGAAACCAGTTGACCGAATCGGAAAGTGCCTGGCGAGGGTTGTAAAGCCGCCTGTTGCCTAAATGGCAACAACCTCAACATAGAAGCGGGTATCGTCAGTCTTGTACGCGGGGTGGCTGTCGATCTGCTGCTTAATCCACTCGACGGACGACTTGTAGTCTGCAAAGGGGTCAACGTCGCTATCACAATTGTAGCCATATCTCTGCAAACTTACTGAGAATGTCCTGGGTATAAGGATCCTCAAGGCCGCTAGCACCGTAGCGGTGGCCAGCAAACCACTTGTCATACCCGTAGTAGCGCTGGCAGTCCCAGCGGGAGGCGATGTCCGCCTTCACGTTGGAGCTTTCGGAAAGTAAGTTATCGTTCGAAACATCATACCATCTAGGGTCTCCTTACTTGAGAATCGCCCCGTTGTTCCAGTTTGACTCGGGCTGGCCAACAAAGCCATAGCGCGAGGCACAGACGCGGAGTTGGCCCCAGTTCTGCTTGAACAGGCCAAAGTTCGCTGAGTCTTTGGTCTTGGCATCACCATAGGGATAGTGGGAAGTGTTCATATCCTCACTGTGATTGACTATCAGCATTATACAGTGGTATATCATAGTAGGAATCCTACATCTCGAGCATGGCAATGGCAATATCGAGAGTGTTGCCACCAGCATTGAGAATTGCCTGCTTCCGCGCTCCGAGGCCAGAGACGGTGTAGTGACCACGAATGTCCCGCTTCTCGAGCAGATCATTGGATACTGGAGTGGCCAGCGCCGTAGCTGCGAAGAGTGCAGCAACACATGAAAGGGAGAATTTCATCTTGAACTGGGAGTTGAGAATCTGGATTAGAGAAATATAGAATGAGAGTTGATGAAGTGCCCAAGAAAGAGGCCAGGTCGGGAGGCTTTATACTCACGGAGCTCGATATACTTCTAATGTTAGGTGTGTATGAGGATGTCTTTGAACTGCTAATATGAGACTGTTTTCGAAATGTCAAATTTCCACGTTGCTCTGATGCTAGTCTCTTTGGTATTGTGGCGTTTATTTAGCGTCGAGGTGTTTTCCACGTTGATATCCACGTTATTATGCGCATCTCTTCCGAGGTTCGGCATTGTTTACAAATGCCGTTTCCCTCCTTATGGGTGACAAAGTCGACATATACGAAATTGTGGCTTTCTAGAGTATCCCGTGAGTACTGAATCTAAGATATGAGTCTCTACTTGAGACGGTAGCTGGTTTCCGACAGGATCCGATAAGTTGTAGAAGAATATTCTCTGATGTTGGAATTGAATTGGAAACAACCAGTGGGGTCTGGCAAGAAATTAAGTGTTTGACTTCAGGATGTCTCAAACGTCTCAAACCCTCGATCCCAAACTCTGACCTGCAATCTTAAAAGACTGAGATCGATAAGATTGTTTCTCCACTGTGTTATGAAGATATTCTCCCAAAAAAAATTAATAATTGATATCTTCAGAAACATGCACCCCGGATTCCGCAACGACTCAGCGGGAATCCAGAGGGTTAGTTGCCGTACGGAGTGTCCGCATTTGCGCCTTTTCATGCATCGACAGGGGTGTACTCCGTATAGAGCCAAGAAGGCAGTCGACTAACGGCATTAGCATGGCGGGTTCAGATGGTCCACACGTGGGATTCTCAGTTTGAGACACTGTTAAACCTCTCCATTTCGAGGCTCGCTTTAGACGGAAATTACCCGAACCGGCACGGGGGTGTATTCAGGAGTTCCGCCTTGATAGACCCGTATAGGGTTAAAACCTACTGGTCGCTCTAAATAATCTCCGTTAAGGATCAACACTACCATTGGTGCCCGAGCTATCCAGGCACAGTATGGGGTAATGTAAGCCCATCTAAAATGTGGCGCGCTTGTGCAAAGCGACGTCAGTGGATGAAGGGAAAACCCGGGGTTACTGTCGATCTGCATGTGCCACTCGATACTCCGTATCCTTTTCGACAAGTTGTCACAAACTGCAATGATCGTTGTTCGGAAAGTCTTGACTAAGGTTTCAAGGGGGTCGTGTGCAGTCCGTATAGAGACTATCGGCAGGACATATAAAGTCGCTTGCAATGCCTTCAATTCCAATGGCATCCAGTTCAACAACGCTCTATACAATTTTCTTACTTATTGTTCATAACACAAGATGCGCTCCATCTCCTCCGTTGCTTTCCTGACCGCCATAGGAGTGGCCTCCGCTCAAGTTGCGAGCTCGGCCCCATCGTCGACTTTCTCAACGGCCGTTTCTTCGACCGGACACCCTTCGTCGACAGTGTCTGTGACTTCGTCCACCCCCTTGGGCACTTCTCGGCCCACTGGCAGCAGCTCCTTTGCCAAGGTAGACGGTCTCAAGTTCAATATTGACGGCGAGTCCAAGTACTTCGCTGGCACGAACTCGTATTGGCTGCCATTCCAGAAAAACAATGCGGACGTTGACTCTGTCTTCAAAAATCTGAAGGAGTCCGGTCTCAAGATTCTCCGAGTTTGGGGCTTTAATGACGTTAACGCCGTCCCGGAGGATGGGAAAGTCTACTTCCAGCTCCACGACAAAGCCACCGGTAAAACTACCATCAACACTGGTGCTGATGGTCTGAAGCGCCTTGATTACGTGGTTTCCGCTGCCGAGAAGCACGGCATCAAGCTTATCATTCCCTTTGTGAATTTCTGGGATGATTATGGTGGCATGAATGCCTACGTTACTGCCTATGGAGGCAGTAAGACGGATTGGTACACCGATAAGAAGATGCAGAGCGTGTACCAGGCGTACATCAAGGCCGTTGTCTCTCGCTACAAGACTTCCTCCGCCATCTTTGCGTGGGAGTTGGGTAATGAGCCTCGCTGCCCGGGCTGCGAAACCGATGTCATCGCCAACTGGGTGGCCAAGACTTCTGCCTACATCAAGTCCCTCGATTCTAACCATATGGTTACCACCGGTGAAGGTTTGTGTACCTGAGATAACCGAAACTATTGATCAATTCTAACCTGTGGTACAGAGGGCATGGGCCTAACTGTCGGATCGGATGGCTCTTACCCATACACTCACAAAGAAGGCAGCGACTTCGCCAAGAACCTTGCGGCGCCTGATATTGACTTTGGAGTGTTCCACCTCTATGTGGCCGACTGTAAGAATATCCCCTGACCATCAAAGATGCAGCACACTAACCCATCCTAGGGGGTATCAAAGATAATGAATTTGGCAACCAATGGATCGAGTCCCACGCCAAGATCTGCGACGAAGCTGGGAAGCCTTGCATGTTCGAGGAATATGGCATCAAGAATGACCACTGCTCTGACTCGCTGAAGTGGCAGAAGACCGCCTTGACTACCCCCGGCAACGCTGCTGATCTCTTCTGGCAGTATGGCCAGGAGCTGTCCACCGGTCCCTCTCCGAATGATCAGTACACCATCTACTATGGCACTGACGACTGGAAGTGCACTGTTACTGACCATGTCAGTGAGATTTAAAAGTGGAAATGCCTGAATACTGTGCTGGGAACTGGATCTAGGCGGGTATTCTTCGGACTCTCCGATCTCTTGGTTCGTTCATTGCTTGACTCAACTCATTTAGGTGATGCATCGCCAGGGGCATGCATTGCTCGTCTTTTGTGACTTACCTAGGTAGCTTGCCAAGAATGAGTGAACATCGAATTTTGATAGGATTGGAAATATCAGGCTGGTTTTACTGTTTACACACGGAGATGGGTTGCCTGTAAGTCGTCTCTTTAGTTCGTAGGCCCTGTATAAAAGTACAAATTTAGACTCCCTTGCTGTATTTGTAGTTATATTAGGTCGTTAGCTCCTCAAATGTGACATAAGACATGCAATATATATTTGAGTGATGCAGGTACAAAATGGTTTCTCTAACTCGCTAACATTGTTGCTGTTTACATGCAATCTTCAAACAAAGCTATAAATACTCAAATATAAACACAACATAAGAATCGAATCCAAATCCGCTAAAACGTTCCCAATGAAATCTCAAAACAAATTCGGGGTAAAACGAAAGATGGAAAGACAAAGGAACAACAATAGAGAAGAAACAAAACAAAAGAAAAATGGCTCAGACGCTATAGAAACAATACATCAAAGTCATCAAAACCAAAATCAAGCCCTCATAAACTGACCCTTCGCACCCGGACTCGTAGGAGCCGACCGAACAGTCATAACCTTCGGAGAGGTAACATCAATCGGTGCCAACTTTTCAATAGCCTTGGCGCCCAAGGGTGTCTTGGGAGGCGAATCAGTGACCACAGCATCGGCTGAGTTCTTCGCAAACTCCTGAAGCCGACCCATAATGATAGGCGAATCGGAGTACAGCACAACACCCTGCGAGTAGGTACATCCTGTGGCTTTCTCTTCATCGCTGGCAAAGTCCTCGTGAGCAGCCTCGCGCGTAATACGCGGGAAGGTGCGCAGCACGACATGGCGCGTGGGCTCGTTCGACGGGGTGTTCTTCTGATCCTTGTTGGCTGCGTACTCCAGCCAGCCCTCGTTCGAGACACTCTCAGCGTCAGGGGCGGGGAAACTGGCGAGGACGAGCTCGCGCTCGACTCGCGCGTGTCTCCATGTCTCGGCGGCGAGCTTGACGATCTTTCGGACGCCGATTAGGAGGGAGTCCAGGTGCTTGGGATCGGCGAAGTGCTTGATGTGGTCGATGATTTCGTCGACGATGACTGCTGCTGCTACGTTGATTGATTGTTTTGCGTCTGAGGTTGTGTAGGCTGCTTTCAGGGTCTGTTGGCGCCAGAATGCCTCGCGGCGGACGGACTTGCGTCGGATGTCCATGGATAGCATCTGGAAGAAGGTGTCGGCTTTGTCGTATCGCCGGCCCAGGGTGAAGAGGAAGGGTTGGAAAACTCGGAAGGTTAGGGTTTTTGAGATGATGTGCTGGATGTAGGCACATCGGAGTTCGCGGGAGGCTGGAGTGTTGTCAAGGAAAGGTGGAAGTTCGGATGGAATCTTGGATAGGATGTCTTTTGGGGGATCGATGGGGAGATATCCAAAATGCTCTTTGGATAGATTGTGGATGAGCTGCGAGAGCTCTGTGAAGCAGTCCAAGCTAAAGATGAAGGAGTTTATTAGATCGTGTCCATTTATCGTTATCAACATGAGTCTATAAGAGAATGTATGTCCGCTGTGCGCTGATGCAGTTCAAACAAAGGAAATATAGAGAATGAATGACTTGTCTTCAAGAGAAAGACGAAAAGCAGAAGAAGGAAAAGGAAAAAGAAAGAAAGAAACAAGCAAACCCATAAGGCTTCAAAGGCTCACTTACAAGAATTGATCGCCCTTGGTGTTTCTGAGGTCAGTGGCCTCTCCCAGACTGAGCAGTGTCTTTCTCAGTCTGTCGCAATCCGAACCCAAGTTATCGATGGTCATTCGCATGCCATCCACCGCACGCTGAAGATGCTGCTCCTTGACAATTCCGTCTCCTTCCAACCTTTCCTTCTCTCGCTCGGCACTGGCAAGCTCACTATCTTTCTCGGAGAGCTGCTGCTCCATGGAAGCGCGCTCTGTGGTCCAAAGCTTCTCTTTCTCATTGAAGTGAGCTTCCAGAGCCGCAATCTTCTCGTCCAATTCCTTGGCAGCAGCAGCGAGTTGTTCCTCGTGGGATTGTCGCAGGGAATCCAATTCACCAGCATGGCCTTGTCGAAGTTCTTCCGATTCTCGGGCGTGCTTCTGGTGGGTTTCTTCCAGTTCCGCCAGCTTCGCTGCTAGTTCCTCACGTGTCGATGTGAGTTCGGTGAGTCGGGCTTGCAGCTCGGTCTCCTTGGATTCCAAAGCAGCGATCTGGGATGTCACTTCTGTTTTGGTGGCCTCCAGCTCGGTGCGCTGCGTTTCGAAGGATTCCTGCAATTGGGCCTTCTCTTTCTCCCATTCGCCTTTACTAGCTTCGTGTTCACCGCGAAGTTCACGCTCACGAGTCTCCAGATTCTCGGCTGCCGTTTTCTCATCCTCGGCCTTGATCTCCTCAAACAATTCAGTGAGCTCCTCCTTTTGTGCCACAAGGGCCTTCTCCTGTTCCTCCTTCTGAGCTTCTAACGCTTTCTCGTGGGCTTCTTTTGACTCCTTGATGCTTTCATTGAGCTGGTTGATTTGTCCCTCGAGTTGAACCTTAGTTTCGGAAAGCTCTTCGTTGGACTTCTGGTGGACAGCTAAGCCATCTTCAAGGTCCTTCTGCTTCTCTTGTAGGTCTCCGAGTTCTAGACGCAGCTCACTGATGGTGTGCTTCAACCTGGCGTCTTCTTCAGCACTTTCATTGGCAGTCTTCTTCATTTGAGCTTGCAAGGCTTCAATGTAGTAATCCTTGTGCATCAGAGCTTGGTCGTGCTGACTTCCAATGTGCTTCATCTCAGCCTCCCGGGTTGAAAGCTTGTTGTGTGTGCTGCGGAACCCATGAAGAAGACGGTTGATGTCTGGGATGGCCGACTGGATGCGTTGAAGAAGCTCAATGTGCTCACTGTCGTTTTCTGGGGGAGACCCATTCTCAAGGGGATGGCCATTGACCATGGACAGATTTTGAAGGGCTTGATATGATGCTGAATATGATGGGTCTGGGATGCTGTAGCTCCGGTGCATGTAATGGGCCTCCGATTGATGATGAGGAGAATAATGCCCATAAGGAGGTACCATTCCGGCGGAGCTCATGACAGGAGATTGGAGAGCATACGGTCCACTTTGGGCAACGGAAGGCGCTTCTGGGGGAGCCATCGGTGCGGCTGGTGGGTTTTGAGGTGAGGGAGTTGCAGTTGGTGATATAGTTGGAGACATTTGAGGGTAGTGGGAACGGGCAAGTGGACTGCTAACTTTGGGCACTGGGGAGGCAGTTTGAGCTACTGGCGAGACGTAAGGCGCCGGGTAACCAGCGTACGGTGCGGGTAAGCTATAAGGCACTGGAGAGCCAGCGTAAGGTGTGGAGGAGGCGTAAGGCACCGGGGAACCAGCGTACGGCACTGGAGCGTGGAGCGTAGGCGAGGCGTAGGGTACGGGAGAAGAGTAGGCGTTTGGCGAGGCGTACGGCACTGGCGAAGCGTAGGCGTTCGGTGACGCGTAAGGTGCGGGCGTAGAGTAGGGGACGGGTGAAGCGTAAGGGGAATATGCTGATGGTCCAGGATAGTAAAGTTGGTTATCCTGAGAAGGACTTGACATATACCGTGCTTCAGTCAAAGACGGTGAAGGCAAAGGCACACAGGCGGCCACGGGGGAGAACGGGTCAGCCGGTGGTGATGAGACTACAGCTGTCTCTTCTGAGCGCTCGACTTGATTGGGTTGGTCTTGCTTGGCTTGGTCTTCCAAAGGATCATTTGCTTCTGTGTCTTCGATGGGAGGGTGGACCGAGCTTGCTTCTCCCAAAGGTGGCTCTTTGATTTCAGTCTCCTCGGTGGGAGGCTCAGGCGAGCTTGGCTCGTCCACGGGCGGCTGCTTGAATTCAGTGTCCTCGATAGGAGGCTGAGTCGAGCTTGGCTCGTCCAAGGGTGATGCTTCGTCAACAGGATTGTCGACTACAGGTGATTGATCCGCGACAGGGTCGGGGATGTTCGGGGGTGCAGTTTCGTCGTCGAACACCTCGTACGCTGATACGGGCTTTTCGAGTACAGGAGATTGTGGTTCCGCGACAGCGTCGGGGATGTGCTGAGGTGTAGTGTTGTCGTCAAGTATCTCGTATGCTGATACGGGATTTTCGTGTACAGGTGGTTCTTGATCTGCGACAGGGTGGGAGCTGTCTTGAGGTGTAGACTCGTCGTCGAATACCTCGTATGCTGATACAGGAAGCGGCGTCTTTACTTCGACGTTTGTATTGTCAACAGCAGGCTCTTGCTCTTTCGCTTGCTCTGGTTCCTGCGCCGTAAGTTCAGGGCTACCAGGAGCAGGAGTAGTTGTAGTTGTTTGAGTCTCTGTGACCTCTGGGCTCTTCCCCTTCTTAACCTTCTTGGTGGCAGCCTTGCCATTCTTGTCTTTGGCCTTAGCCTTCTTGCTGCCCGCAGCCATTGCGGTAGAGTGATGCGTGCCCAAGACTTCTTGCCTCTGACAGACGTGTTACCAATAGGATCAATGTGCTAAATGAAGCATGAGTTGATAGTTCCGATCATATGGGATGACTGCACTGTACATTTGCAACCAGCCCTGTGGCGATGCCTCAAGATATAGCCCAAAACTTGACTATAGTTGGGAAGTATCAAAACTTTGGAATATTTAGAAGCGTAAGCCAAGTGACTTCGGTTGATCGGGCAGAGACCTGAAACCTCTCTTCGACTGGGCGCGAAGATCCACGAAACTGTGGAGATATTTTTGGGTGTAAGACCAAAGCAAGAAAATTAAAAAAGGAAAGAAAAAGGCGAACACCAAAGAATTCGAAAAAATATCTCGAAAAATTAGCATCCCAACGTTGTCTGGGCACAACAGCGGACCGACCCTTAGCGTGTTGATACCCATCCCCCAATGTGCGAGAGGGCCATCAATTAGACGCGAGTACCGGGAATTATTGAGGGCACAAAGAAGATCCGAACCCACCCATATTCCATTCTGAACCGAAGCGAGACCAGTTGGGAGACGCCATGACATTGGGCATCAAACTGTGGGTTCGGGCGATTCGAGGGATTAGTGGGACCTTGACACCGACAAGCTGACATGTTCAATTGATAGCCAGGCAATATGTGGGAATTAAAACGAGGCGATATATGGAGTACATATGTATCAAAAAGGACGTATCCCGCCCAATTGGCATGGTTAACCCTGGCAAATACTGAGGTTGTCATCGGACAACACATCCAGGGATATTACTAGATGAGGTTTCGAACATATCAGTGTATCGGCATATTGGACATAATATGATTGTAAGATTGTCTACTTTGTATGCCAAGTAGATCGGGCTGCGGTTTAATATTGGATTTTTATTTTTCATCTGTACATGATACATTGTGTAGAGTAGTACTACTGTCTCTATTAATTATAGGAGTCTTGCAATGTGATACTAAATATGCATGGGTTCACCCTCCACTCTCCAAGATCGATGTTTATGAGAGAAAAATAACAAGTCAATTCTAGCTCAAGTTTCATATAATAATGTAATAATCAAACTTATAACTAGTTAGTTAAGCTAAACTAATAACTAATAAACTATTCCGTATATAGAAAATAATAAATCGGGGACATATTGTCCAGCACAGAATAGAGAATGACCCTAAACCAAATACGGACATCACGTGCTGTCGACTTTCGCTTTCCACCTCGCCCTATCATCGTTCCCCAAAGGGTCATCGATCATCACCAATTGCTTCTCTCCACACAATGTTCGCTGCCAGACGATCTGCTCCTTCAACGCGGCAGCTGCTGCGCACCCAGCGCCGCTGGGGCTCCCACGCCGCCCACGAGCCCGTGAACGAAGGCTTCGGCGTAAGCTCCTCTCCCCCGCCCATCGCGACCAGACCCGAGTCTGGAAGCAGAGCAAGAAATGCCTCAATGGCCCACGACCACCTGGCTAACCCTTTCATGTCCACTTAACAGCGCAGCTTCTACGTCACCTGTGGCTCCATCGCCTCCGCCTACCTCCTCTACCGCGTCTCCGAGTCCAACGAGAAGTCCGGCGAGCCGTCTTGGATCTCCGGCCTCATTAGCAAGTGGACTCCTTCCCAGGAGGTCTTTGAGCAGCGCAATGCCATTCACACCGCTATGATGGAGAAAGCTGCTACTGACCGCCACTTGCTCGGCAGTCAGGGCCAAGCCGAGGCTTTTACCCTTAGACAGCCCGAGTATGTGATCTTGTTGCCCCGGAAATGTCTTTCTTTCTTGTGCTAATTGTGCTTTTCCCTATCTAGTATGATGAACGCCGGCTCTCCGTACAACGTTTCGCCCGGTTCGCAGGCGGACCTGAGCCATGTCGTGGCTCACTACCAGCGCAAGAACCAGGAGATTGAGGAGTCTCGGGTTGCGCGGATGAAGGACGGCAAGGTTGTGTCGATCTACGAGTAAATGGGGGTATCTTTTTTCTTTGGTCGGCTGTCTGAAATAGACATGTGTGGAGGAAAAATCATGTACATATACGTTGGGACTTGACATTCAATCCAGCACCTGATAATTGGATTTTCTTTTGTTTTTGAACCTAACCCCTATATCATCGCTGGATATTCGTCGAATGCTGAGACTGGATATTCGTTTTATTGCCGAATTCGCTCTAAGGCGCGCTTGACGGCACAACCTCCAAAACTACTCTCCCTACACCCTCAGATTGAACATTCAATTTCTGCTGCACGCCCAGCTCATTACCACAGACATTACCCAGCACAGCAAGGAACTCATCAACGCCGCCACCAACTCCGAAATAAACCTTCTTCGCCGCGACGAGAGCCCGACTTTTCACCAATACAGCGTTCGAGCGGCGCAGCAGCGCCAAAAGCGTCTCGGAAAACGCCGCCAGCGATGCTGGCGAGTAAATTGTCTCGCTAGCAAGAACCAGAGTGCTGCGAGCGCCATCACCGGACGAGAAGACTAGATCCACAAACTCGGGCGACCAAGCGCCTGAAACGAAATCAACCGAGATCCCACGCTGAACAAGATCATCTTTGAATTCCTGAACCAGCTCAGGCGTTATGTCCAGCTCTTCGTCCTGGTCTGGCGCAGTTGCCCCGGCTGAAATAGCCGTTTGGGAGCGGCTATTATGCCATGTCAAAAGGAGATTCGGGAGCGTGACCAGACGGAGCACGTCTAAGTTGTAGTCTGCAAAAGTAAAGAGCGTTTTTCTTTGGCTCTGGCCGGGCTCGGCTTGGCTGAGAAGACGGGCGAACAGCGTCAATGATGGGACTGCTGTACCTGCGCCAAGCTGTTCATTCATGTTAGTCTTCTTGACCCCAGATAGATGTCCGGGAAAAGCTTCCACAAGACAGATGATTACGAACCTCAATTATATGGATGTCCGCCGGGCTATTGGAGGATTCACTAAGAATGTCCTCGTTGAGGGAGAGCTTAGCTAGATCCAAGGCACATTCCCAGGTTTTGAAGCCGCCTTCATAGAAATTAGGCGTGATGTCGCCTTTTTCAATACCCGCAATAAGCTCTTCATTATCGTGGCCTGCGCTGTCTTCGGCCATGAGCTGGGTGCGAATGTCAAAGATCTCTCGACGAGCGACGGCCAGAGGCGAATCGCCGATAGCGAGCTTATTGTAGAAGATTTGAGAGGGAAGAATTGAAAGCTATGGACTTATTAGATTTTGACTCTGCTGGGAAGGTATCATGCATTTCAAAGTAATGAACACGTGCTTTCTTGCTCTTGTCAATGACAGAGGACAGTATCTCATGAGGCCCAAATTGGGATTTAGAATATACATGCCAGCTCACATCATTTATGACAAAGCAATAGCATGACACGCGTAATTGAGAATTAATATCTTGCTTGATCACTTACCCATTCATTCATATCATGTTTAATCGGTTTGACGAGCTCAGGAAGAGAATTGCCCACCGCTTGCTGGGAGGGCACATTGGAGAAATCTTTATTGATCTCCGAATCGTCAATGTCGATATCATCTCCCGAGAATCCGAAGCTGAATGCCATTCTGACTGAAGATGGTTCTCTTCTCTTCCAAGACACCTAGTACTGTAGGTTGTCTGAAGTGGCCCCGATGTTGCAGATGAGGAGAATTTGTCGGAATTGCAGGTTGCCGACAAACTTGGACTAGTTCTGGCACAAAATAGTGTTTTCAAGGGCAAGGACTAGCTGATTAAACAATAATTCAGTTCCAAGGCTATCTGTTCACAGACGCCGTGATCTGATCTCCATACAAAAAATTGCAGAGGAAGGATGACTAAGCAAATAGCTGCCTCAGGCAGGATATTAGTATACAACGCTGTAGACAATGGATCGTAATGTTATTTTGACAGATTTGAGGGTTGTAATAATTGTAATATATGATCTTTGATTCTATAGCTCGTAATGTCATAACCAAGTGATTGGAAACTGATGCTGTCTATTCTAATATGTAAATGCAAGCCAAAGACGTGAGCTGCAAATTAAGAGCTGCGTTTAAGCCTTCTGAGCCACAGCAGCCAAGCTGAGAGCCTGCATCACATCAGAGTGCAGATCCACAGAGTCCTCAATGCCACAGCTCATGCGCACAAGATCGTCGAAGACACCAGCGGCCTCGCGCTGTTCCTTGGGGATACCAGCATGGGTCATGCTGGACGGCACTTCACACAGACTCTCAACACCTCCCAGACTCTCGGCGAGGGTAAAGACCTTAGTGTACTTGCAGAAATCATGAGCAGCCTGCTGACCACCCTTAATACGGAAGCTGAGCATACCACCACCCATGCCGTCACGGTGCTGCTTGAGGGCAATAGCGCGGTGGGGGTGGGAGTCAATGCCGGGGTAGTTGACGGAGATGACGTGGGGAGAGGACTCAAGGGCCTTGGCGATGACAGTGGCGTTCTTGGTCGCCTCGCGGGCACGCAGGTGCAGGGTCTTCAGACCCCGGTGAGCGAGCCAGCAGTCGAATGCGGAGGGGACGGCACCGATGGCGTTCTGGAGGAAGCCGAGGCGCTCCTTGAGGGCCTCAGAGTTGAATGCAGCCACGCCCATCAGGACATCCTATGTTTGAGTTAGCTAATTGTTACTGGCAAAGTCTGGTTTAGAGTAAGAACTCACGGAGTGGCCATTAATGTACTTGGTCACGGAGTGAACAACAAGATCGGCACCGTGGTCCAATGGGTTCTGGACGTAGGGGCTCATGAAAGTGTTATCAACGACGACTTGAATGCCGTGCTGGTGGGCAATGTTGGCAACAGCCCGGATATCCACCAAGCCAAGAGTCGGGTTGGAGGGGGTCTCAATCCAGATGAGCTTGGTCTCGGGGCGGATCAATTGCTCCACATCCAACTCAATGGAGGGAGTGAAGGTGACGTGGACACCGTGCGCCGAAGCAACCTTGGTGAAGTATCGGTGGGTACCGCCGTAAACATCGGAGACCGAAACGACGTGGGAGCCAGCAGCAAGGGATTGGAGGATATTGGCCGTAGCGGCGGAGCCGGAGGAGAAGGCCAGAGCGTACTTGGCATGCTCAAGAGCTGCGACGGCTTGCTCGAAGTTATCACTGCGGGGGGTATTAGTCCGCCTGATCGAGGTATCAAACTTTTGGACCAACAAACTGACCGGTTAGGGTTGGAACTCCGCGTGTACTCGTACAGACCAACTGGGCTTCCGACGCTGGTCTGAGCATATGTGGTGGACAGAGAGATCTAGTCAAGGCATTGTTAATACCGTCTATCTTTGTATTCTCCCTAGATCGATGAGCTTACCGGAGCAATGACAGCGCCGGTCACCGGGTCATGAGGGGAGCCGGCGTGGACAGCCAGTGTCCCAAAGCCGCGGTCAGTAGTGCCGTTTTCCGTGGAGCCCATTGTGTATAGAGAAGATGATTTTTAAGGCAATTGAGGGAGGCGAGGGGTAGTTTATATGTCTATCGATAAGATGAGATCACCTTCGTATGACTTGACTGTCTTAAAACGGAATGAGACTCGGATTGCGTGATTGATAATCAAGAATGGCGAAAACAAATTCAACGTCTGCTTTCGGATGTTTTTATGCTGGAAAATTCAACCGAGAGAAAAAGAAATTTCATCCAGAGAATCTTTTACATACAACCAACCTCTGGGGCGCAGATGACGATTGATCGCGCGGTTGCGACTGGACGAGAGACCGGCGGAGCTCCACCGGCGACCGGCAATTCTGCTCGGAGAACCATGTGGACTCTCCGATGACTCGGAGTCTCGGAGTCTTCGGCACTTGCCGCACCGTAGATCCCCTCATTGGTGTACTATATATACACTTTGCTTTGAACGTCATATCTTGCATATGTATGTATTTTATTATGGGGGAAAGGGTTGATGCGGGGTTTTGCTTAGGCTAAATTCAGATCAGCTACATAGGTAGGTAGTTGCCCAGGTCCCCTGTCAAGTAGCTTTACACTATCTGGGTTTATCATATATCCATGGATGGTTACTCAGGTATCTATATATTCATTGGCATTGATTCGTATGGGTATCTGATCTGACTCTAAAAGAAATTTTATGGGCGCTGAGAACGGGCCACGATAGGCGAACAAGAAGACAATCTAATAGAACATCAAATGGTAGTGTGCCACCAGCAGTCTACCACCAAGTGATGGGTCCCGTTCCACCCATTTGCATCGAGCCCTAGAAGATGGTCAGTGAGAGCTAGAAAATTGATATGGAGAGACCAACAAGAATGGAATATGGAGGGCGTCTCTCCTGTGGGGTTTCATCCGCGACATCTGGGGCATTAGGGATTTGGTCATGCCATTCTTCCGATTCGACTCGGAATCGTACAACTTCTCCTACATCGAAGAAGAATTCTGTTCCGCCTTCGCTCTCCCAGATCCAAACCTGCTCGGCATAGTCGCTGCAAGGCACATTAGCATTTTAAGTTTGAGAGGTGAGAATCAGCTCACAATCGAGACTTCTCCATAAGCATTTGTGGCGGGATCAGGATGTCATTGAAGAATTCAAGGCCAACTGGGATTCGTTAGTTTTTGATGCGCACAGAGTTTTGCTGTTTGAAACGCACTTTTGATTCCATGTTCTGTGCCGCTAGAAATCTTTCCCATCATGATCTCCCCTTTGAAGGGTCGGAAAACAATCATGCGGAATTTGACTGTGTGATAAGTCAGTAAAGATCTTAGACTTGAGAAAAGTGATGGTATAATCTACCGTTGACATTAACCAACCCGGTTCCGTGGCCAATCAGGCCATCGGAAGACTCAAGTAGATCATAGAAGCTGATGCAAAGGCCGATTTTTTGAATGACCTGGAGGCCGAAATAAGCATTAGGAACCTGGAAGGAAGAAGATTTAATGGCGCACTTTATTGGCATATTTTGCATTGATGTTGTCTTCAAGTGCAACTGCACTGAACTTTGAGAAATCCTCGGGCGAAATCTGAATCAAGTCTGATATGGTGGTCTGCTAGTGTCAGGAAAAAGTTTTTATGTATGGCCGTCAAACTCACTAGGATAAACATGGCAACGGTTAGGGAATGCACAACCAGAAGATCGATCTGACTAGGCGGTGATAAAGTGAAAACCTTGGAAGGTGCCAAATATCTTTTCCCGCCCTACAATTGTCATTGAAGCAATCAAAACTGAGATTATTCGTGCTCCGCCTAGAATCCCGCGCGCACGTGACTACGGAACGGAAGCTTTCAATCTCAACCTCAACTCCGCTAATACGCTAGGTTTACGAGATTATTCCTGTGTTTGTGCTGGGTCTCCAGCAAAACCAAAGGCTCTTATCATGAGCTCACAGGGGTTTTCTTTCCCGCCTCCGCCGCCTCCGCCGCCTCCGCCGCCGGCAACTAACCAGGCGCCGGCTCACCACCCGACCCAGCGTGGACAGAATTGGGGTGGACGCGGCGGACATGACGGAGGTCAGAGGGGACGTGGAAGAGGACAGGGAAACCGAGGCCGAGCAGGAAACCATGCAGAAAGTGGACGAGCGCCCTCATATCTTCCCCCTACAGCTTTCAACTACGCGCAACCAACGTATGGCGGATATCCTCAACCTCTTCCCACGGCACCTTATATGCCTCCCCAGCCCTACCATCATGGACAAACCCCGGCCTTTCAAAATCCTCAAAACTCGCCCCCTTTTCCATCTCAACAATATCAGCAGTCGATAGCTCCGGGAAACTACCAACACTACAATACGCCCAACCTTCCTCCACCTTACCCTCCCACAACTCCGGCATACATGCAAGGTCTACCAGCACCTCCCCACGGCCATCAACCAAACAACCAAGCAATGATGCCCCCAATCTCATGGCGTAATGAGATGCAAGGTACGGCGCCATACATGGGGGCTCAGCCGGGGCAAGCACGAGGGCCACGACCTCATCCGCATGGCAATCAGGGTCCGAAACCCAAGCCTGCCCAGAAGCGGGACCACTCGTCTGCATTCAACAAACCTCAATCAACTGCACCTCGGACTCCCGCTGCGCCTGCCGTCCCGAGCTTCGGCAACCCTCTGCCCTCGAAGCCACCGCCCGCCGCAGACTCGACAAGCAACAGAAAGGCAAAAAAGAGGAAAAGGAAGCACAACCAACTTGGATTGACCCCTAATACCGAGGACCACGAGTCAAGCGAAGAAGAGGTCGATGAAGATGAAGAATCAAAGCTGGCACAAGGTGGATCTGACGCTGCACCACTTCAGGTCTCATACAAAGGAAGAACATCTTTGTTGCAGACACCGTCCGATATTGCCGCTTGGATTGCAGAGCGGAGGAAGAAGTTCCCCACGCAAGCTAGGGTTGAAGAAAAGAAGAAGTCAATGGAGGAGGCAAAAGCAGCCCGCGAGGCAGCCCGTCAGCAAAAGCAAAAGGAGCAACAGGACAAGCGGAAAGAGCACATACAAAAGCAAAAGGAAAATAAGACAGATTCCACAGATGCAACGACAAACGCGCAGCGCAGAGAGAAGATTCGGCGCAACCTTGAACGAGAGGAGAAACGAATCCAAAAAGCCATGGCTGAGACCGAAGCCGCTCGTCTCCGAATGGAAGCTCTACAGAAGGAGGCATTGAGCCTAAATGCAGACTTTCCTGAAGATACCGAAGATACGGGTGTCACATCTGTCCCGAACCCAGTTATCAAAACTGAACTTGCAAACCCGGTGCCAGACTCAGAGCCAGCCCTCAAACCCGAACCCGAAGACACGGTACCGGAGCCAGCCACTAAGACTGAACCCGAAACTGGGTTGCCAGAGGCAACGACAGAAGCTGAGCCCCATGGCCCAATTCCGGAGCCCGCTCAATCAGCCGTCCCCACCTCCCACGCGATAGAGCTGCAGGGAGATCCAGGGGTCTTGGTCGAGTCAGATAATCTCGAGCACACAATCAAGACCGAGCACCCCACCGACCATGGCTTGGATGACATGGAGCTAGCATCGGATCCCGGGGCCAGTGATTGGACCTCCTCGAGTGCTTCTAGCTCAGATTCTGACTCCGACTCTGACAGCGACGACTCCGCGCCAGAGCAAGCAACTTCACGTCGCACGGGACCAGAGCGAGTGCCGCCCCCACCCCGCGAGGGAAAAAAGACCGTCTGCCGTTATTTCGCACGTAATGGGCATTGTAACCGTGGCGACCAGTGTAAATTCCTTCATGAGAATGACTCTGAACGAAGCTCGAAGGCCAAGACAAAGCCTGAAAAAAAGGAGAAAGAGACGAAACGCAAGGGACTTTATCAAGCTGTAGGTGCCCCATTTATTGATTTTGCGGCTCCTATTGAAATTGTACTGACACGGATTAGTTGCTGGACCAACAGAAGCAAGACGATGACCGCCGCGCGATGGAAGTGATCTGCTGGCTAGGTCAGAACAATATGTTTGAGGAACGCCCCACATGATACCCCAATGAATTAGCGTCAGAACTGGAACGAAACATCCACGCGCAAGGATGAAGTGAAAAAGGTCATAGCTCGGAGGCGTAGGGGCTCTGGTTGGATTTCTAACTTGGACGAATACCCGAACCTCACGTGGCTCCGACAGTACAAAGAATTGAAAAGAGAAAAAAAAGAGTAAATAGGTTAAATCGCACCTAATTCGAGTTCTTTGAACGAATTGTCCTTGCTTTTTGGAATAATCTGCTTAACCAATAATGATATCTAAATTCGGCCCCAAAAAAGCACGGTAAAAGGTGTCTGTCTAAAATAGCAAGGCAACCGTCCAAAGTGACTATAGCCGACCAAAGTGGATCGAGTCATTTAAGGTCACATCGAGTTCAAACCAGTCAACGGAGGAGATTCCTTGCCAAGCGAGGAAAAGACGCCCGTTAGTGGTCCAAAGGCTCGTGGATCGACGCCACGCTCTCTTTTTCTCTCTCTTCTCTTCTCTCGGGCCCTCGCGGACCCTCTCCGGGACGTTCAATGGCCAACCATTCGCCTTGCTTCCTTCTTGTATTTGTTTTTCCTCCCTTTGACTTTACCGGGCTGTGCCTAGCTCATTATCCATGGGGCACATGCCCTCTTTCATAAAGCTAACATTAAATATCCCAATGGCTGGCCTTTCCTTCCATATTTGCCTCTTTACACGCCTTCCACTCCTTTGAGGCTTTTGTGATTTCTCTCTTTTATCTCTATCACTTGAACATTCTATCTTTATTCCCAACCCTATATATACAGTCATAATGCGCTTCTTTATCTCCTTCGCTGTCGCCGCCATGGCCGCCGTCGCCTCAGCAAACAGCAAGGCTAACCCCTTTAGCATTCCCACCGAAGGTTACACCTTCAAGGTCGGCGAGCCTACCGCCCTGACATGGCAGCCTACCACCGGCGGCACTGTCAGCCTGATCCTGCAGTGGGGAGCTGTGATGACCGGTAACTCCGGCACTGTCATAGCCTGTAAGCGATACATCAGAATGACTCAATAATTTCCCGATAAGTTACTAACTATCACCAGCGAGCATCGAGAACGACGGCAGCTACACCTGGAATGTGCCCGCCAAGCTGGCCGCCCAGCCAGACTACACCATCAGGATCGTCTCGGACGAAGATATCAACGACTACAACTACATCGGCCGTTTCACCGTCGAAGGCTCCACCGTCTCTGTGACTTCTTCCAGCGCCAGCTCGACCAGCGCATCCACTTCCACCGAGTCATCTACCTCGGCCACCAGCACCACTACCTCGGAGAAGTCGACCTCGACTTCTTCGGAGAGCACCACCAGCTCTGCCACCACCATGGCCACCGCTTCCAGCACTGTCGCTAGTACCTCCGCCTCCGCTACCGAGACCTCGGAGAGCTCCAGCACTGCCGAACCCACCTCGACCAGCGCCAGCTCCTCGGCATCCCAGAGCGCCGTGCCCACCACCAACGCCGGTATCGCCAACCGTGTCTCCGGTGGCATGCTGGCCCTCGTTGCCGGTGCTCTGATGCTGTAAATTACCATGCATACGGATTTTGTCACGAACGAGACCTTGTTCGAGAGTCACCTTTGACATGCTTCATTGATATATATATTCTTTTCTTCTTTTCACTTCTTCGATTGGCTGTATCTTGAAACAGCCAATTAATATGTGTTATTGCCTCCCTTTGCTGGGGTGCAACTGTACAAAAATATCCCGTTCTTTGACTACGGTCGGGAGTGTGGCTTTTCTATTTGGTTCTTATATTATTTGTGTATCCCCCCGCCAGCGTTAATGACTGTATACTCCCTACAATCTATTTCCTATAATTTTGTATTCTCTTGATCGGATTTTAGGATGTCAGGCAGTGGGTGAACCATTTAATTTGGATAGTCCCGCGTCCACTTTTTTAAATTGTAGTCTAATCTCGCTAAAAGAATGCACAACTAACTCTTTCACATGCACTAAGTGACTCGTTGAGGTCTACGACTCAGTATCCTTAGAATTAAATGTTACCTCTTCTCACTAAATATCAAGGTATCATTTCAGTAAGGGGGTCTCTATTCTCTCTCACAGAAGTACGGAGGAGATAAATAATGATCGCCCGTCGGTGGAGACCTGTGGCCTTGGGAAAAACCAAGCAAATTTCCCAATAGAGCAGGGATTTTCTCTTCTCCACAACGAGGATTGGGGATTTGATGTTGATAAGCACAGTGTTGGGTTACATTTTGCTTCTAATTTTCTAACTAGTTTTGACTAGTAAAACTAGTAACTGTGAGTTTGGAGGAGAATTGTATTGTAATTTTCCTAATTTTGCGATTTTGCCTATGTCAAATCCCAGATCTCCGTGGTGAGTCCGTATAGTACTTTCAAAGTGCATTACATGGCATGAACACTGTATGTACATAGGTACATAAAGTATATTACTCAGACACAGTCATCACATCAAGTCGTCTCGACCAAGTCTTTGTTGGCCTGTGGACTTGGCCCTGTGCCTAACTCGTGACCAACCACACATGCACCAGGTACCAGGTACCCTCTGCGATGAAATGTCAATCTGCTGAACGACTCGGCGTTTCAGGTCACCATGAACGATGTCATTGCCATCTGGACTACCACATCATGTGTTTCCAAGATTTCGAGGGTCTTCCTTAAGGATGCCCTAAGGGTTCGGGCTATCTATGCTAGGCACCCGCGCTTTGAAAGATCCAACCCTGGCATAAAAGAAATCCTAATTCAATGCATAATGCATGTTTCTCGACACACCGCATGAACAACATGGGAGCCCCCAGCAAAATATCTATATCGCTCATGTCCAGCCTTAATAATAGCACGGTATCGTCATCGAAAGCTCGGCTCCAAGCAAGGGTCTTACAGATCTATCGCAGGAACGCTCCACTCCACCTCGTGTCTGTAGAGGAAGCAAGGCTCCTACCGCTACGCAGGGCTTTTACTGAAATCCCAAGACATGCAGTCCATCAGATCAATTCATAGGGCGGATTCTGGAGGTCTCTGATCTATCAATCGATCATGCCCTTCGCGAAGAAAATGTGATTGCCTATATGCAATAGATGCAGAAGACATGCAGAAACTGGGGTCGTCGTCATCCACTTTCCTTTGGAATATGAATGGCTCAGCTTGTTCCTTTGTGTCACTTTGCTACGCTACGACATTGGTTATTGGTTCGTTGCTACGAACGATGACATGACAGCTGGCTCTGCAATGATCGAACCCCTAGCGTGCAGCATGGCCCATTGATGGGCCCGAGGACCCGAGATCCGTAATGAGATTTCGTTTCGGTCGGATCCGGCTGTGCTGCATAATTCCTTCTTATAAAGATGCCGGTGCATCCTCCCTAGGGATGGGGGGTTTCTTGCTCGTTCAGAAGTGCCATTGAAAGCTCAACTCGGACCAGAGCAGATCTTTTTCAGATATATCCATTTTGATTAAGTCATATCCAACGAGAACAGGATCCACTATGTTATCCAAATTCCTTCTTGCGTCGGCTGCGACCGTCGCGGCCCTCTCTGGCCTGGCCAATGCCCAGACAAACATCACCGAGAAAGACTGCGCCTCCTCATCCGAGTACTCAAGGTGCAATAGGGATGTTGCAGACAAGTGGAGCTCCTGCGTCCGAGACTGCAACGGCAATGGTAATTGTGTCGTGGACTGTGGCTGCGACTCCCACCAGAAGTATATCAACTGCATGGCGGAGTCATGCTGGAACCAGGTATGGCTTTTATACAGTCTTCGATTTCAAGGAATCCCCGTCATCACTATCATGAGCCCATGCTAACAATATTTTCTTCAGGTCTACTCCTGCAAATACCAACTCTTCGTGCAGCAGTATTTCGCCATCTGCCCCAGTGCCCAAGAGCCAATCCCCTTCTGGCCACCACCAGACAACGCGCCAAACCGCTGCTCCTGCGATCTAGGCAAGGTCACGCAAACGACATTATCATCGCGTAACCAGCAGATCAAATGCATGCGCGACGTCACCGACAAAATCACAGCAGACATCGGCAACATCCCAGACCTGTCGAAACTAAACGACGGTCTCGATATTGCCAACCGCGCCTCGGAGTGTGCCTGCTGCGGAGCCAGCGCTAGTATCTCTGCGTAAGTGAAGCACACCAACCCGCGACCCTTCCTCCCAAAGCACCAACTAACCAGCGAACCATAGATCCTGGGATGTCTGCCCGCACACCGAACCCACCCTCGCCGGCGCAGACATGTGGGGAGTCTTCTTCCCTTCCGATCTACCAAATCTATACACCTCCCTGCCGAATTGGGCGTGGTCGTCCTGCGACTCGACGCTCCAGGACACGAAGTGCAAGGACCTGGGTTTCACGGACGCAGACAAGTTCTACAAGCCAGGCGATTTCCCTAATAACGGCACCTCGACCCTGTACGAAGTTGGCGGTACGGTTTCGGCGCCTCCTAGCGGTACTGTTCTCACTTGGTCCCAGGCTTCGGCTACTTATACAGTTACCGCGACTGGGTATGACCGTAAGGCTGTTGCTAGTCAGAGTGAGTACCGTGCCACGGCTACCGGGAGCGATCAAGCGTTCGCGACTCAGACTTCTGATAGTGGTGCTGCGGCTCTGAGGAATGGTGGTCTTGGCGCTGTTGTGGCTGGACTTTTTGCGGTTGCTATGTTGTAACTTGGTTGAATAGAAGCATGGATAGACTGTGCTGCCTGGCGGAGGGAGGAGAAATTGATGTTTCTAACGTATTTCATGATGTGATATGACCGGGTCATGGGATGGTATGTGGCGTTGACGACTTAATGCTACCTCGGGTTGGCTGTTATATCGGGGGGCAAGACTGGATACACTACTCAAGTGACGAACAATCCGATATGCAAGTTGCTCTCTTATATCGGTAGAGTACCAGCCTTAGACTTCCATAGTATGTCTGCACCTATACGTATCGGGTTTTCCCTCGCGGGTGGGGCTTTCCTATTTGAGCTGCCGCCGCTTTTATGAGGGTTCCCCCTTTGCCTTTTATTCCGCGTGCACCTCGTTGACCTCGAAACATATCCTTGCTTGGCCCCCAAAAGATTTACGGGCAAGGCAGTTTTCATAATGGAAGACTTAGAGGAGGGAGCCCAGTACGGTGCCTTGCCATTTGATTACTATGTGATAGTACGCCCACTTCCTCCTTCACATGAGGATTTTATGTGAACTAATGATAAACAGGAACATTGGCCCGAGGGAATAAAGGAGAGCCCCCAGAAATGGGAGCAACTAGCGTGGAAATACCAAGAGTTGTCGCTTATCGATCGATTTGTCTAGCTTCCCAGCCGTGTTCCTCGACTTTATACTAACATTCAGTTAGAGCTATCATGATAGGGCAAGGTTGGTCCTTGCTCAGGTAAACTCACCTGATTTTGCAAATGATCAGATCCAAATTTTGAACATTCACCAGTCAATCCACGAGCGAAATATTTGTGCAAATCAAGAAGGTAGCATGCAGACAATCTGGCTTCGGACTTGCTACGATGAGGACTTAAGCGAAAAATACGAAGACATGAAGGCCGAGGGCGAGATCGAGGCTGAGATCGGCTCTAATCGGTATCTCGACGATAGCAACCGCTACGCCTTTGACGACGGGACGCCAGACCATTGGCGACAGGTTCTCGTCCGAGTGCCAGGTATCACGGACTTGATGGGCATTGATGACGAAAGAGGTGTCCTCAAATACCGGTCGTGCCAGAATGACGATGAGATTCGGGCCGAATGTGAGGAGCTAGAAGATGAGGAAGACAGAGCCTTGGCCCTCAAAGAGCTAGAGTTTCAGGTTGTTGTGTACCTACTGGACCGCGAGGCTATTGAAACGGGTTTGATCGAGATGCTTTGGTTAGACGAGCACGGCAGCAGTGCATGGGAGATTCGGGTGCATCCATATACTGTGGAATGGCTTGCTGCAGCTTTTCTTGGCGCCACTCGACTGAGTGAAATGTCGGGTGGAAGCTCTGGTCGAGGCTCCTTCATTAGACAATAGATACGAGTGGTTGCAATGCAGTGCGGTATTTTAGTCAAAGTCGAAGGTGGATTGGGTAATTTACCCTAGAAGATCATGTCCATTCAAATTGCCAGGTTTGTTATTTAGTACGCGAATGTTAAATTCGAGCTCATAGCCCCAGCGGTGCTGATACTTAAGGAAGTGCTTGGATAATGGTGTGTGGGCTGGTTGTGAATGGCTAGGACATTTTGCAGATGTGCTCATTTCGAAGGGGAAAAGAACGATGCTCTTCTTAATTGTAACCCGCAGAGCAGCTATAAAATTATGTAAAAAGGCCCCGAAGCCGCCCAGAACAACGCCAGTTACTCCACCGATACCGGTATAAACGTTGGAATCATAGCCCGCTAGGCAATGCACGGGCACCGTGGCCAGTGTCCTGTAGGAACGACAAGCACAAAAGCCACAAGATCAAAGCAAGAGACACAACAATCACGCAACCCACGACGGGACGACCCGCTTCAGGAACTTCATGAACTTCCAGAACCCAACCGCATACTCCTCATTACCATGTGGGTCCACGACCCGCTCAGGGAACGCAATACCGGCACCAAACAGCCCGGGGATATCAGATGAACGACCAGGCTCGTGGAACTTGCCAGTATCATGATCAAAGCTCATAAGAAGGGGCGCGCCATTCTTCGAGAGAGCAGGGAGCGAGGTACGAGTATACCCAACTGCCTGGACAAGATAGTCGCACGCGGGCAAGTACTTGTGGTACTGAGCAGACTCAATCTCCTGGCCACCAGCGCAGTCTATCTTGGCTAGGACCTGGCCAGCGCGCGAAGTGGGAAGCTTCTCGTCTTCCAGCTCGGAGCGAGCAAAGTCCGCAGCGAGGCCCTTGAGACCGGTGTTGTCGCGTAGGATCCAGCCGTCCTTGTACTCTGCGTAGCGGAGGGCGTGACGGGTGAACCAACTGATGCGCAGGAGAGGGTGGGAGGTTTGGGCGAGCTTGGTGAGGTTCAGGATGGCGAGAATGGCGCTGTGGGATGCACCGACGATGGCGACGGAGATAGGTCTGTCTGAAGGGAGCGTCTGTGCTAGCTCGGTGGGCTTGAGGACTACGTCGAGGTCCAAGCGCTGGATGTCCAGTCCGGGGACGGGAATACTGGCTGTTGTGGGGAAGGAGCCTGTGCAGAGGATCAGGCGGGTAGTCTCAATGGTCTCAAGGTCTTCGGATGAATTCTGTTTGATGGAAATGGTCCAGTTGGAGGTCTTGATTGTAACGTCATTGTCAGTCTTCATGATAGAGAAATAGGTATGCAATAGAATCACTAACCGTTTCGTTCAGGTTGGCTGATTTGACAGCGCCGTGGCATGCATATACTTGCTCCATCTTCATTAGACCGGCTGTCAGGTCACGGACCACATCCGCTGCAAAACCAAGGGTGCAAGTTGAGTCTTGGTCGAGCTTGCCCAATTTGGTGAACGCATTAGGTGATTTGGTGTTATCAATCACTTTCTGAAAAGGCTGAGTGGCTTTCGCGTATGCTTGGAATAATGAGACCTTGGTGTTGCTGAATGGTATCTTGTTAGGATCTTCCGGCCCGCGTTCACGTCTCAGGAATCCAGTACAGACCTGGGAACTTCGCGATACTTGCTATGGACTCTCCCAGCCTCAAAAGAAGGATCAATCCATGCGATTGTGCCCAGCTGGCGCTCCAACAAGTTTCCCATGACGGCAACTCCAGCCGGACCGGCTCCTACGACGACCGCTGCACATCTCCGAGTAGCCATGTTAGGGTTGTAGTGATTGGAAGATGGGAGTAAGAATAGGAAAGCGAGTATAGGACTCAAGCGATTCAAAAATGTGGAGTGAGAAGGAGTTGTAAAAACGTCGTTTATTTGAGTAACTAAATAAACAGAATCGCAGTAGACATCGCGATGGGGTTCCTGGCGGGTTTTAAAAAGGGGGAACCGTCGGCTAAGACCCAGGGGACGACATCATCGGCGAAGGAATGCGTGGTATTTTCATGCAGATAACGCAACCAGTGTCCAGTCAGGGCATCGCTAGAGAGCGAGAAAATTCATTATTCTCCAGGCGAAATGACCCCCCGATATCCCATGACACATGTGTAGCTCTCGGACGAGATGGGGTCGCCGTTCTATCGACATGTATTGGCCAATCCATGCTTGGCCCGGCTGCTTCACATTTGGCGGTGATGGCTCGGGACTTTCAGACGGCGACTCATTCGGTGACTCATTCGGCATTCAATCGGCGACTGAGCCCCACTGTGCGCTTCCCGTCGGCCTGTCGGCAGGGTCGATCCGCGCTCAGTTAGTATGGGAAGAGGTTCTCATGGGATAAACACCATTTTCATAGCAGAGGTGGGAAACGTTGCAGGTTCATGTTTGGACATGACGGTTAGCATCAGGGAGAAATAAATAAAAGTAAAACAGCTTGAGAAGGCCGTTGGCTTTATATTGTGTTGTTTTGGCGTCGATCAGGCAGTCTTGGCAGAATGGCGTGATCGAATTTTGGGCTTCAAAGCCAATCATCGCTTAGCAAAGTATATATCGATGTATTGTTGTATACTTCTCTAGGGCTGTTGTATGGAGTTGCTATTAATCTGGGGGCTAAAATGCGGTATAGGATATTCTTCTGACTGGTCATTTAGTACTCGTGTAAAACGAAAACCTGAGTTATCTACAATTCTGATACTCCGTAGTCGTCTTTGATCTAACCGCTCTTCCCTCATACAGCCCAGTATATCCTCACGCTCGCGTGATAAACGTGGTTTGACCAGCCGGGAAATCTTGCCCGGGCCCAAATGGCAATCGAATCGCCAATCTCCATCTCGCGAACTCCATGTCCATCGAGAGTAAGCCGGCCACGACCCCGAGCCTTCTCAATCTCAAATGCCTCGGGTGAGTCCGCTTGGATATCGTCTCGATAATCCCAAACAATTTCATTGTGCTGCATATCGCTCACGTGGGCTCCGTTGACCTGCAATTTGTTGTCACGCGGCAATAGCAGCGCATCTGCCTCGGTATAGTGTTTTCGGACTTGACCACGCTCATTATCGAGGATCTCCTGCTCGGTTCCATTGACATACATGTTCCTCGTATGGGCTCCATGAATGACTTCGGTGTCAAACCAGGTCCATGAAAACTCATACATGTTCTCGCGGCGTCTCCCGCCGCCTTGGTCGTGAGATGAGATATTGAAGACTATCTTGCGGCAAGGGTGTGCTCCGCGATGAGGTAATGGGGTAGGACTCGATTCTTGCTCCAAGCTCTAGACAGATTATCAGCACGGGCCCATTAGCTAACTTGACAACAGATGACTAGACATACATTCCGATCATAACAGAAGGGAACTGTCTTTAACAGAACTTGATCACAGTCTTTTTGGATGATCCGCTGGTCTTGCATTTTCTGCTCTACCGAAGGCCAATATTCCGCAGCATCGACGATGATATCGATGAGTTCCACAGGCAGACCATGTGGGACCTTCCATTTCAACCAACTCCGAACATTGAGTACGTCCACTAAGCTGGGATTGAACACCTGAGGTCCTGGATCCTGGCTACACTTATCCGACCCATCAGAATCTGTGCCGTTCGTATCTGGAGAGGGTTGGCCATGAGACCAGCGCTGGTTTCCCGGGCGAACTCCAAAAGGCAACATGATGGCGGTAAAATGGCTTTTTAGGTGCTGTCTTGACAAAGCTTTGGTGACACCCGTCTGGACACGTATAGACGTCACCGTTCGACTTTGCGGTGAAGTTGATGATTCGGCTCAGGCACCGGCGCCACCACACATTCAACTGGTCAGATACGATCCGCATGAACTTTCTTTTCGCTGTGTACGACCAGACCTAGGGAATTAGCTTTGGCCTTTGCAAAGACTTTGTCGAATCGTTCGTACACCTGCGCATGCCACATGGACGAGGTTGGAACTCACGTTGGATCGTTGGAGCTATTGACTTTGTCGAAAGCAATCGGGAGTCGAGTGACATTTAAAGGAACTAAATATTCCATGGTGGGAAGACGCATACACATATGATTGACCACTCGATAGGATCTACGTTGGTTGTTGACAATGACGTCAATGGCTCCAGTTACAGCTTCATCTACGTCAATGGCTCTAGGAATAGCTTCATATTAATTTTGTACCTGGACAACTGAACACGCGGCATATCTCCAGGACTGAAAATTACCATGTAGATACTCAAGTATGCATGTCTAGTCTCGAATTTTGTGTTCTTCAGACAATATATTCAAATGCCCTTCCTAACGCCCATAAAAGATAAAATATGGCTTACTTTATTTTCAGCCACGTCTACCACCCGCAGCTTTGTACGCAGCAGCGCGCTTGCTGCTTCTGCTTTCTCGCTTGGCCTTTGAGCCACGACTCTTTTGCTTCATCTTAATGGTTGATGATCCCTCAGTAGCGCGGTGACCCTCAAACACGAAGGAGTTGCCGGCAATGGTACTGCTAGCATCGGCCTTCACCTTAGCCGCACCCGCTCGGCCCAGTAGCCTGTTGGCGCGTCCTTGCATGGTCTTCTGGGCCTCGTCTACACGAGATTTCTTGGTCTCAGGGCCTGAGGGTTCGCGCTTCTTGGCGATCTTGCGGGCCCGAGTGACACGCAGCTTGCGAGGGAGCATGGGCGGGAAGTTCTTGCCATTGAGCGGAAGCGACTCCTCAACACCATTGCCATCGTAGAACTGGACATAGGCAAATCCTTTGCCGACACGAGTGGTGCTGTCACGGATCACGCGCACGAACTCGACGTTCTTCTTGATGGCCTTCTTGTCCTTGCCTCCGGTGTGGGCATTGAAAATCCGCCAGAGACCCTCTTCAATATCGGCGGGTGCGCGAACCTTCTTCTTCTTGCCGGTCTTCTCGTCCTCTTCGGGTGTCTCACTGTCAATAAAAGACAGGTTTCCGACAAAGACACAGCGCTTGTGGTCAATTTCTGCGGGGTGAGCAAGGCTGTCAACTCGCAAATGACGATCCAAAACCATGGTGCCGTTCAAGGCAGCGGGAGCCTTGCGTGCGGCGTGGAGAGTGGTGTAGACAGCGTATGCGTTGGTGCTAGGTGTGGTCTCATCGAGAATCTCGCGCTTCGCGAAGGAAGCGCGCTTGGGGATACCACCACCACTGGCGAATGCAACAGAGCGGAAGCGGATCGACTCGATCTTGTGCGGGCCGGTGGACTCAGGAAGCGTAGAGCAGAAAGAGGTCAGGTGTCTAAGGAGTGTCTTCTTGGCAGTCTTAGACTTGATAGCCTCGGTAGAGACGTTGCCCAGGAAGACAGTGCGGTTGGACTTCTCAACTTCGTCAGACTTGGCGGAACCGGTCAAGCTCTCATGCACAGGTACAGGAGTAGTCTCCTCTTCATCGCTGTCTTCTGATGCCGATTCTATGTCGGAACCCTCGTCTTCGTCATTTTCGCTAGCTTCTTCTTCGGCCTGCTTTTGACGCTTTGCTTGCTCGGACTTCCTCTTTTCCTCGTCCTTCTCCTCCTCCTTTGCAATGCGACGCATATATGTCTCCTCGACATCCTCGCCGGCACTGCCACGCTTGCGTTTCCGGTTCTGTGTGTCCGTAGGTTGTTCTTCCTCCTCTGCGGCCTCAGAATCGCTTTCTTCGACAGCATCCTCCATAAACTCAGCGCCTGACGCAGATGATTCCTCCTCTTCAGCAATATCATCTTCGTCCTTTTTCGCCCGTTGGATGGGCTCGACGTACTTGATCACGGGGGCTTGCACAGGACCAGCCTAAATATTGTCAGTTCAACACCCATTAATTGCCCATCAAGATAGACATACACTTTGCGCAAAAAGCGAGGACAATGTTGGGTCCAGAGATGCACCACCGAAGGGAAGAGTGCTAGCGGACTTGCTGGTCTTCTCCTCCATCTTGGACGAAGACTTTGACTTTTTGCCCATTTTGATATGTTTGGTCTGTATTATAGTCTAAAAAATGAATGACCAAGACGTGGGCTTGTTGCGATTGACACTGGCGCCGATGATAGCTCCGACTTTTTTTTTCCCTTTAGTTTCTGCTTATCGGGTCTTGGCGCGGAAAGCTTCTTATCACATGACTAGGAGTACATTTAAGAGTATTCCTACTATGTAAGGTACATCGTACGTTGTATATGATAGATATGCATGAATATCACCTATGCAGGCTTTCTGTATTACTTATTCTTCTTGTCTATAAGTACTACCCTCTCTCTATGTATTCTAGGCTGGGAGGTCCTTGTTTGGGATTAGGCGGTAAGCTGTGGATGTATGGTGCACTTATACACCATCTAACATAGTGAGACTGATGGACTTATCGTTTGCTCTCTATTCATTCGATGTCCCTTCTGACATAAAAGTGCAAGGTCAACATATTATTCTGCAAGATGGCCATTCTCTTTCCGACTACGTCAGATATAACCTCACGTGATTTGCTTTTTCTTCAGGCGGTGAGTCTTGCCCTCGCCCGAACGCAACGCGGCAGAATCAGCGGTCACTCGCTTCTGTTGCTGCACCCCATCATAGCGATCTGCTGCTTTTGTCTGCTGAAACCCCCTCTTTCGGTTGTGATTTCCCATCCTTGATCATTGGTTTGATCTTGATTACGGTCCCTGGCCACTTCTTCATGCCGTCAACTCCCCTGCGACTCGGTACCCTCGTCTTGTCCGCTTCCTAGCCATCTCCCCTCGTCCTCCACAGTCGGTCTGCGCAGGATTCGTCGGACCGAAAGCTTTTACGGGCTACAATAGTGTTGACACGCGTGGATTTGGACTTAAGCCATAACTTGCGTCTCAGGAACGCGGTGGTTTTGGGAATCGTCCTCGGTCGCGAGAGCTGTGCTCATTACCGGCGTCGCTCCCGGCGCATTGTTGAAACGGTACGTCGCTTGAGGTTCTACATCAACCCCAGAGTTTCATCTGTTCATTTTTGCGAGGAGGGAGCGTCTCTATGTCTTCTGGGACTACTTTGATCGATACCCTTGCTTTGCGCGGCCTCTAGTCCCTATGCTGAGCGATTGTTACCGACTCTGGGGGCGCCGATGATCAATCTCCGCACCACCGCCTTCTGGAGGCGCTGACCTATCTCTCGCACCCACCAACCACTTTTTGCCCACCGACTCCGTCGTCCACTGATTTTGCCGAGTGGACATGGCAATTGAGCTAATTCGATCTGTGGTTTCTCCAGATTCTCAATCGAAACACCATCTAACGGATCGGTGACCTTCCTCCTTCCTCCTCCCTCCTCACGCCTGCGGCGAATCTCGACCTCGCTGCAAGCAATCAAGCACCCAATACGCTCCACCCCAACTCTTCTTGTCTTTACTCACATTGTGCTGCACCAGCTCTTTTTGGCTGCATAATTGTCCATGGAGGTAGCCGAGAGCAGAGAACAGGGCTCCGTTGGTCCAACAACGGGGGCAGAGTCCACATTCCCCAATGGCGACCGAAACCCTTTTCTAGATGACCCGCTCATTGACGATGATGGCCGCTCAAGTAGTTTGAGTGAGATCGACGACGTCTCGGACAACGAGCCGTCCGACTTCGAAGATCCCATCAAATCAGGCAGACCAGTGGAGAACGATTCGGAGGCCGAAACCGAGCGCATCGAGGATTCTCCACACAACATCCGGAAACATGACATCGTGCTCAGTGCCACTAGCGCCGGGCCAAGCCCTAGCAAGCTTCATCAATCTACGACACTCGATGATGTCGATGATGTCGATGAAGCACTCGTGGCGGACGATTCTCCTAGCAAACCGCGACGGTCTTCAAAGAACAACGGCTTGACCGAGGATATTCCAGACCTGGGCGACCTAGGCGATTCTGGGCTTCCAAATAGTCTCAACAGGAAACGAAAACACGAAACAGTTCCCGAGTTGGGCGACGAAGAGCCCACGAAGAAACGCCGGAGCTCAATCAAGAGTGACTTGAGTGACCCGATCGATGATACCCCCCTCTCACCTGAGCCGCTCGGTAATCCCATGGATATCAATGACGATGACATACCGGTTGACGAGGTTCCTGAGTCGGACCTCCCAGCCCCGCCTTCGAAAGGCAAAAAGGGCAAAAAGGGTAAGCGGAAAGGAAGAAGGACCCAAGACGCCGATGAGGAGGCGGAAGGCGGGGTCGAGGCCAAAATAGAGTATGTTGCTGATGAGATTCTTGGAGAAGACGAGGAGCCTACGGAACGAGGAGATGAGCCCGATGACGCGGAGGCAGTTCTTCGAAGCGAAGAGTGTAAGTCTTCGCCGTTATGGACCCTTTAGGCGCCACAGATACTAATGCCATGTACAGCTGTGAAAAAGATGTCTGCTATGGATTCACTAGCGACACTGGAGAAAGAATTTGCGACGTTACGTGACAAGTAAGAGATCGCCCCATCTCTCAAGCTTCGTTGCTCACAATCATAGGATTTATGATGAACGGATATCCAAACTGAACCGCGAGTTGGAGATGCTTACCGGTCCGAACCCGACCCATCCTGAGTACTTGCGACAGATCGAGTGTGTGCAACGTTACCGGGACGCCAAGATTAAATACGAGCAAAACTTGTATCGATACCGCATGAAGTCACTCATGCACAAGGGTCTGGCCGAGCGATCACAGGCCCACAGCACATACTATCAGCGGATCCGGGATGCTCGCGAGTGGCATTCAAGTGCAGTCAGCAAGCAGTTCTATGCCATTCAGCATGATCGCTTCAAGACAGACGAGCTTAGCCCGCACCATATCATCCCATTCCCCACCCGTCGCTCTCAGCAAATCGCACATCAGACTGCATATAATCAGGAGGTTTCAATTATGGCTGGTGTCGCCAAGTATGTTGGCTTCCCGGCTGCCCCGTCCTTGATGGGTGCACGGCCCACCGAACTTGATGACGATCTTGAAAAGATGGGGGTAAGTCACTTTTCATGTTTCCTAAATTTGATCAGTTGCTGACAGCAGGGTATAGATTCCTATCGAGTCTCGCGCTTCGGCACCACGGCACTCATCAACGATACCACCACGGACCACCATGTCTACCATGTCTTCCAACGCCTTCCGTTCGGCCGCTGAAGAAGCATTTCTAGAACAAACACCCTGGGCAAACCCACAACATCCCATTCATCAGCAGCAGCAACAACAGCAGCAGCAGCAGCAGCAGCACTCGCAGCCACCTCGACCACAAGGCCGTACATTTGAGCATCCACAGCCGTCATCATATGCAACGCCAGCCGCTCAAAAGCGGATGGTCGACATCAACGCACCCAATGGATCTGCATCCACCATCCCCGAGAATGCCTCTGCTGCCAACTCATCAGCCAACAACACCCCTTACGGCATGGAGCACGATCCAAGGCATCAAACGCAAGGGCCCTTCCGCAACCCTGATTACGATGCCGATCATCGCAAATCCGGGTTCCGGTCACTAAGTTCATCCCCCTTGGACGTGCGGAAATCACAGCCGCATCTTAACCATGCCCTCGAACACCGGTCTCCTATTACCGACGCCCCATCCCACAATCACCTCTTCTCTCCGCCTTCTGCGCGTCAAGGCTTGTTCCAGCCTTCAGCCGCTCTCCAACGGGAGACCTCGCCATCCCTCCCGTCTAAACCGGCTGATGTGGTACATTACCGCGCTCACCAGACAGGAATTTCCACAGGGTCCGGTTCAAATCACATGCCTAATCGATGATCGTTTACCTTCGGCAATTATTTCTAAAATGACTGGTCAACACCCCCCTTAATACCCCGAGAGTCTCCTACCCTCCTCTTCCATGCATTGCACTTTTCCTTCCCCTGTGATAAATCCTATGTCTTTCTACTCTCCGGCTCTTTCTCCAGCAGCAAATGTATCTTGACTGTCATTTTCGCCTGTGCTGCATGAATGGAGTACCGATCTGGGGTCTTGTCTTTGAGTTTCAACAGCGTTCACATGTGGGATACTCCCGTTGTCATTACTTCTAACTTTGGATTCGAAGACTTTATTTGAATGGAACGGAATCTGGTCAAAGCTGTTATTGTTTTATCATATGATGGGGTGTATGGGGTCTGGATTTGTTTTTTTTGCCTGCGGTAGAGAGACATCTTTTGCATTGGAGTTTCTTTTCTTTTCCCTTTCCCTCTAGTATTCTCTGCTCTTTGTGGTAATTTTGTGCTTTTGGTGTACATACCACGCCTTCATTTCATAAAAGGCCTCCAAGCCCTTTCTCTTCTTCTGGTTCTCTGTTTAGATCTTTGATTTACGATCATACTATTGCTTCAAAGCATTTGCAACCACCCCCACTCTTGGTCGTATCTCTTGGTGGGATCATTAATTACCTTACAGGCTGAGATGTTTCGGCAACATCCGAGGCCTCGCCATGACTGGCAGGTTCACTAAGCCATCTTCAGTGCCCGTGATTATTGAGTTCGAGAAGATAATGTATCTGAGTGTTGTTCAGCATAATTCATCATGTTTCCTTTCATATGAGCTGTTTTCGAAGATGCATTGTCATATATTGACGTGTATATCTGCACATATATATTTCTAGAAGCCTAATAAGTTTGCATGTTGTTAAGGGACTCCCAAAAATTGAAAATTGACACCTCATCCATCAGCGCATCGATGGCATCTTCGCCGATTGTTATTCCCGCCATAGGATCATCCGCCGGAACTTCCTGCAATGGAGAAGACTCCGATGCAAACTCAGGGAGAACCTTTTGAGCCACATAGTCTGGGAAAATATAACGAATGGCTTCGAGAAAGATACCTCGGAAGACTGAAGAGCAGGGGTGGGTGTGTTGCATCTGTTCCAAGACTATCATGCACACCTCAATCTTGTTGAGACCCAGACGTCGGGAAACGGGATCGGGAGATTTGCAGTTGAGGAGGTGGACGTGCATTGCTGGGACTAATAGCGGTGGCCTGAAATGATTGTCAGATAATATATTATTTGCAGGAGACTTGCACACTCACGTCATAGGACCCGAGAATGTCAACAGCTTCTCGTTTGCCAAATTATCAAGGATGGAATTGGTCTGTAGAGCAGCTATATTGATCTGATTACGAATGTGAGTTTGCCATGTCTCCTGGCGAGATGCGGGCAGCCCTTCCGGATCCTTTGTGATGAAAGGACGGTAAAAGGTGATTATGAATGCTCTTTTGGCTGTCAGCAGCAGTTATATATGGACATTGGTGTCAACACTCACTGGTGATGAAGCTGTAAGTGATACAAATAAAAGGTCGCAAGTGGACTTCGGCCCATCTCCTGATTTTCCGGAAGTGGAAAGCGCAAAATCTTTTGCTCAAGAGCTTCAACCTGCTGGATAGACGAACTGGTTCCAAAGGGTTGGTAGCACAAGGTGAGAGTGTCCCCAAGAAGCTGAGTGAGTTGAATAATTGTCACCCAATAGTCTGCTAGCTGTGGCAGGTCCTTCGGGACGTATGCTGCTGATATGGATTCAGGTAATCCGGCAAATTCACTCAACATATCATCTGCAGATGGTGGTACGGTGTTACAGTCATTCATGTTGATTCTCAATGGACGACCCATTGTGAGACTTAGCCAACGATCTCGAAAGAAGCAGGTCCACCAAAGGCGGCGCCAAAGACGCTGTTGTGGCTCAGTGATAGGTGAATTGGCGCAGGCTGCAGCGGATAACCGATGTAAACCCATTGTTTGACAAAGGCTAATGGCAATACCAAGCCAAAACCACGGTTGGGTGTAGGTATCAGCTTCAGAATGGTAAAATCCCAGCAGAAGTGCTGATTGAAGGAGAACTGTGTTGTCTGTCTCACCCCCATTATGGTGCAGGCACTAAGAGCAGGCACATTAGCCCAAGCGTAATTCGGGGATAGCTCAAATACTAGCCTGCTTACCTTTGCACGAGAGTACATGGATTCCTTCATCTCTTTCCTTGACGAAAAGCCCTCTGATTTCCAAGTATCGGCCGGAAGATGCTATATACGTGTTAGCTAGATTGCAGTTTCACTCAGAGAAGGTGGGCTTCACATTCGCTGCAGCATAGAAAATGCTCCATAGTAATATCAGATTGTATGGTTGAACATCTCCACTGGGATAGAGGTGTGGAAGCGTTGTAGCGTCAATAACCGGCATAATGGGATGCACATGATGAAAGTATGCCCGCAGAAGTTCATCGCAGATCTCTTTTCGGGGCAAGTTGAAGACGCCCTTGTACTGCAAGTATGCTTTGTCCTCCGGAGATAGCGAAACAGATGTTTTGGAAGTGAGGAGGATATGCCTTTGTGCAGGCTGGTGTGAAGGCGAGCATAAATCAAAGACGGCGCCAAACCCAGGCGAATCACCTTCAGTTTCAGGTCAGCTTGAGGTAACAGAAAAATCTCGCGCGGTGACTACAGACCGGTGTAGAATGGCGCTTGGCCAGTTTTGCTGTTCTTCCCGAGGACTGTGGTCGCGATTTCAACGCCAGTCTGCTCTTCATCCTGACGCCGAGAATAATCCGGAGGATTAGAGGCACTCCTCATACCAGCTAGCTCAGGACGATCTATATTATTCGAAGGGTGTGCAATTGGAAATGCACCAAGTGGAAATGAAGACTGTGGTGTCAATCCATTGGAATCTGCCTTAGGCGGGCTGCTAATAACAGAGGCAGTTCGACGTATATGTCTCTCACGTATGCTATATCTGTCAGTGCTAAGCTTCTATCAATCTGGAAGAAAACCTCACGTTTGGGTTTTTGTTGGCGGAACGGTACATTCTCTGCCATCTTGCGTACAACCTATACATGGGATACCGGTCACTGTCACGCTACAGCGGACTTTGCGCTGACGGCAATTTTGACAAGCGGCAGCCGATCGATAGCGTCGTGTCGACATGACGAAGTTTGCCGAGTATTGATGTATCGGTCTGCCGAGAGAAAGTCGCTGAATGTCGAGTGTCGAAAGTTATCCGAGGTAGCCGAGGCCGGGTCCTGACAGTTCCGAGGTAATAGTTTTCAAGGAACATGGCTATTTGAGAGAAAGTACGTAGACATAAAAGGACGAGAGATCTATCTATAGGGGTTCGAAGTTGTTACACATGATGCAAGCTGTTACACAGCTTCCAAAATTGTTAACAGAGTTTGTCACACGTGTTGTTGTTAGACAGGATGGATGCCTGAGGGAACTCTGTAACCTGAGGCATTCCTATTCATATAAAATGTATATCTTCACGATGTTCTATATATTCAAATTAGATAACAAGAATCTCTATAGTACTTCAGGGTTATACGAGAGTAATTCCAGTAAAGGCCCGGTGCTCCTCGGAGTAAACCTTCTCCTTGTCGTTGCCATCCAGGTCGCACCGGTAGATGGATCCGCCCAGATCAGTGAGATAGACATGAGAATTGATAGGATCCAACTTGAGACCGATCGCCTCATTCAGACCCCTGGTGAGAATCTCATATCCCCTCGGGGAACTGGTTGATACAGGGAGACCATCTTCGCCCAACCTGGCTCTGTTCAGCGAGTTGCCCCATGGGATTTCGCCACGATCAGTCCAGTAAAGTGTGTGAGAGGTCTCTTCCACCTCAAGATCAATTGGCTCCGGAAGATCGGACAGAACACACTGGATATCACCTCGAGCATCTGCTGACTGACCCTTAGGAGTTGTGATATTGGCGCAGAGGATCCGGCCTTCGCCACCCTTCGAGGGTCCTTTCTGGGTCCAGTAGAATTTACCTTGAGTTGGGCTCACAGCGACTCCCACGCACCATTCGGAGACACGCTCCGCTGGGGTCAGGCCACGGCCAGTGTTATCGATCAAAACCTCCAGATTGGAGCCGTCGAAGGCACAGCGATAGACTCGGCACCCTTCACGGTCACAGAAGTATACGGTTTGTGCCACAGAATCAATGGCTAGCTGCTTCGGTGTATTCACGGTGCCTGGGACAACTACTGTTTTGATGTCGGTCCCATCCACGTTGGCGGAGTAAACGGCCCCGTCGGCCTTTCCTGGAACGCCCATGCAAGTCCAGAACATGCGGCTGGAGGTCGAGTCTACAGCGAGTCCATCAGGCAATGGTTGGCCTTTAAGAATCGATTTCTGCGGCTTGCCATCGGCGGAAATCTGCAGGATCTCTCCTGATGTCAGGCTGGGCGCGCTGGCTGACAGTCCGATATCCAACACCAAAATTTCGGGCTTCTTTGAATCGGCCTTGACCGGAGTTGAGTCGCTAGTAGCATAGAGGCCACCCTTTGAGCACTTCGTTCCCAGCTTCCCGTGGTCCAGGTAGTTGCTCTTCAAAAAGTCGACCGTCTTCTCGGGAGAGAGTCCACGTTCATTCACGTAATGACCCTCAATGAAGGCAACGGTGTCTAGGCCAACATCTAGACGATATTTTGTCAGTGAACAAATTCTCATAAAATTAGGGAAGGCGAGCGAAGATCTTACCGTCCATTGTCCGGCAGGGAAGACTCTTTCCTTTGAGGAACAATTCAGCCCACATCGAATCGATTTCCTCAGGAACCGAAACACCCTCAGCCAGGATAGTCAAGGCCTCCCTCTTCACAGCAGCCCACAGCCGATTGAAGATGAATCCAGTGGACTCCTTTCTTGCGACATATGGACTTGTGGCAGCTTCCTTGCAGCGCTCGACCATGAAAGGGAATATCTCTGGGGAAGTGTATCCATCGGTCATGAGCTCCACGATCATACACGCCGGCGGCATGTAATAATGCATGTTCAGGACGCGCAGCTTTGTGGAATCCGAGATCTGACTGATCATCTCGGAGGTCTTGTATGAGGATGAATTGGAAGCCAAAATGCAGTCCTCAGGTGTGAGGGCCTCCAATTCAGCGAAAGTGGCGATCTTGAGATTGAGCTTCTCGGGAACAGCTTCAATGACAAGCCAGGCATTCTGAACAGCTTGTTTCATATCTTCGACGGCTTCGAATGATCCGGGGACTTGGTTGGTTTTAGAGGAGTATGATTGAACATTTTCCTCAATGTATGCAACCCCGTCTGCTCGCTGTTGCGCGTTGGGGTCTCGAATCTTGACATCGAAGCCAGCTGAAGCCCAGATACATCCTGATGCAAGGATTCTTGTCAGCAGTTCGATCTATGAATAACACGCTGGATGGGATACAGACCTACTCGGCGCCCGAGTACACCTGCGCCAAGAATGGCAACAGGGCGGCTGCGGTAGTTTCGCGGAGGTTCCCAGTTTGATGACATGTTGTAAAGCAAGTTGTTTGTAGTTTAAGTGTAAAAAGGTTTAGTTTGGTAGGTGGTGTATTGGTTTAATCGCAGTGACGGGTAAGTTCCTTTTATATCCCATTGTCCCATTGTCCTATTGCCATTGCCATTGCCATCATCATTGGTATTCCGTATATCCCTCGGAAATCACCATCCATTACTCAAACGAGAAGGAAGGTGAACGGAGTCCGTCAACAAACTCTATACCGATGATCATCTCTCTTGTTCATTCCTCGGAAACTCGGGCCGTGGAAACGAGACGAATGAGGAAATTCTTTATCAAACAGGTAGGGATTGGCAGATCCAAGGACTTGCGCAGATGTGGGACTATACTTTTGGAGCCTCCAAGCGGCATGACCGATGCAAAATGCTTAATTTGGACCAGCCGATCTCCGGAGATCTTCCTTGGGCCGATTATACTATGGCGTACTATGGAGCACAATGCCGAGGTAGTATACCTCGGAAAGCCCATGCCCCCTGTTTGGAGTGAATCGTTAAATCAAAAAGCTTTATAGGGTATGAAAAATAAATAGCGCGTTTGGTTCTTAAAACTATAAAGCATTTATCTCGAGTGCATTTTCGCGCTAAAGACACAACCGTCATTGATATTGCATCTTCCATACTTCCATACACGATGGTATCTTTGAAAGAATTCGACGCGAGCGAAGTGGCAGCTCACAACACCAAAAACGATCTTTTTGTCATTATTCATGGAAAAGGTAATTTTTCCCTTCCTAGGCTATCTCGTTCAATCTTCTGACATACCCAGTGTACGACATCACAAACTACGTGCGAGACCACCCTGGTGGTGCGGATGTGTTGGTAGACGTCGCCGGCACAGATGCAACAGCTGCATATGAGGATGTTGGTCACTCAGAGGATGCCTCTGAGATTCTGGAGACATACTTAGTCGGTACTGTCAAGGATGCACACGAATTTGTCCAACCCAAGGTCGTTCGTGTAATCAAGCAAACCTCTTCCGACACAGAGACTCCCAAGAAGCCATCAATGGCCCTCAAAGCTGCGACTACAGTTACTGCCACACTTGCTGCTACTGCGCTGGTTTACGTATCTTCCAAGAATTACCGAGCCCTGACCGAATTCTTCGCAAAGCACTCCCCGGCCTCCCTACAAATCTCCGAGGCTCACATTCCATTCGCAAGCCTTCTGCATGGCGGATTTTTGAGTGGAGTCACTGCTGCCAGTCTCAGCTGCGCGACGATTGGCTGCGCCATCGGAAGCAAGCTCTCAAAGTTCACCGACGTCCAGTCTGATTTCACAAAGTACCGGCCGTACGTCAAAGCCTCGACAATGAAGAAGCAGGATCCACATCTTGTGAAGGGCTTCCTCGAGCCCAAGAACTACAAAAAGCTCGCCCTCGTTGAGAAAGATCAATTATCGCCTAATGTGTACCGCTTCGTCTTTCAGCTGCCCGATCCAAAGGGCGTGATTGGACTCCCAATCGGCCAGCATGTTGCTATCAAAGCCATGGTCAACGGTGCATCTGTCTCGAGGTCCTATACCCCCACATCCAATAACCTGGATCTTGGAAAACTGGAGCTGGTCATCAAGTGCTACCCGGACGGCATTCTCACCGGACAATACCTGGAGTCTTTGGAAGTCGGCGACAAGGTGGAATTCCGAGGCCCGAAAGGCGGCATGAAATATCACAACGGCCTTTGCAAGAAAATTGGTATGATTGCCGGTGGAACCGGAATCACCCCGATGTACCAACTTATCCGGGCGATCTGCGAGGATGATCGGGATACGACTGAAATCAGCCTGATCTACGCCAACCGAAGCGAGGAGGATATTCTTCTCCGTCGCGAATTGGAGGCCTTTGCGCGAGGATATCCCAAGAACTTTAAGCTCTGGTATATGCTTGACCATCCTTCTGACGATTGGGCTTATGGCAAGGGATACGTTACACCAGATGTCATGGCGGCAAGATTGCCTGGGCCAGCATCTGATACAAAGATCATGCTCTGTGGACCACCAGGTATGGTGAATGCTTCGAAGAAGGCCTTGGTGGCGGCGGGCTTCGAAGCTCCTGGCGCTGTCGGAAAGATGACCGACCAGATCTTCTGCTTCTAGAGTGTTTCGATTATGTACTCTCTGAACTGTTCCGTGTTTATAGATTTTGCTGTATATTAGACTGTTTGTGAATTCAAGGTGATCTTATCTTTATATATTTGAAAAACGTTTCATCAAAGATCTATAAAGAGAACATCCAAAAGAAGACATCGGAGTGTTATCTTGCACATAACCCTGCATCATTGCATTAGCACCTTCCTACAACAATATTTGTTAATAGGTTAAGCTATACACTGAAAAGCAGGATTATAGAAAATATGGTGGTTTAAGAGAGTTGCTATCTTTAACATAACTATCCATCTAGGTTGATAGCTTCATTAAGTTTAGTAGCCGTACCTTTCATGACAGGACTATATTCCAAAAGATTGTAGTCTAAAATCTTCTTAGAGTCGAAAAGTCAAAATTGAGAAAGTCTTTTTCGGCAGCATATCTTCTATATCGAACATTCTGTGGGACCCTGTGCCTTACGCAACTGGGTTTGAAAAGCGTAGGGAAACAGTAAATACGCCAATGGGATAGGATGTTTTCAAATCCTCCCAAATCAGGA